AAAGCCTCTGAAAACCAAGTCCTCCTGCTTTGACCAGTATGGTCCAGCTCCTCTCTCAGGATTCTCTCTGTCTTCCCCAGATATGCTGGCCTAGGGACCAAATCTCAGCCCCAGGAGGTGGAGGAGTCATTCTTGGGGACCTGGAACCTCCAAAGTTTGAGCAGAAATGGGATATCTCTGGCACTGGGGGAGGGAATAAGGCAGAGGGAGTATGCAAGGGGGCAGGGATACAGGCCCTGCCGATGCAGCCATTTAATAGGGCAGGCAGGAGGGAAGGGGGCTCTGGCTCAGGCCTGCTCTCTGGGACCCCGAGTCCCAAGGCCACATTTCCATTTCTCCAGGTGCCGTCCTCCCTTCCCAGGCCCCAAAGGGAACCCCTATGGAATCCTACCCTCTCCTACCTTGCCCAGGGAACCAGAACAGACGAGAAAATAGGAATGATGGAATATCAAGGCAGAGGTGGGGTAGGCTGAGTCCTACCATCCTGGGACTTTTTAGGGGGTGGGGGTTGGGTGAAGGGAAGAGAAGGTTCTGGCAAAAAGTCGAGCTGAAGAGGATGAGCTGAATCAAATTCCTGCTCCGTCATTTTTCTCCCAAGTAATGACCTGCGCAAAATTCAATATGACCGAGCGAACTGTGCGAGCGTATTATAGTAACTGCCTGCTCGTGGGGGAGGCCCGGAGAGGGGTGAACCGTAGGTCACGGCGTCTAAAAATTATTAAAATGTTCGAGAGCCTCGTGACGCGCCTAGCTGTTTAACAAAGACTGCCAAAGTATGAGATTAATACGAAAACTTGCGCTTCAAAAACAAAAACACATCAAAAAAAAGTCTTGTTCCGGCCTGCAAGGGGGCCCGTAGCGGCGGTGCCCGCAGCCGCGGTTCTGTTTTCCGGACACACAATAGTGGACGAGAGCGAGCTCATCTGGGGCCGAGCGGGCCCGCGGGCGGGTCTGCGGCCGGAGGGCGCGGGGAGCCGCCCGGTGAGTACTCTTGCCCGCTCCCCCTCTGGGCCTTCCACTCCGTGCGGCCTCCGGTGCGCCGGCCGGCTGGGGGCTCGCCTCCTCGGCCCTGCGCTTTCCCTCCCTTGCTCTGTGCTCTCTCCCTGGCGACAAAAGGTAGATGATTCCGTGCGCGCTGGGCGCGCCCGGGACAGCGGAGGGGGCTGAGCAGCGAGAGGTCACTTTAGCAACCTGTGGCTGCCAGGGGAAGGCGGCCGGCGAGCCGGCGAGCGAACGACCCGGGAGCGGGAGCGCAGGGGAGGTGGCTCGGGACGCGCGCGCAGAGCCCTTGCCTTTTCTTATTTTTATTACAAGTACTCGTGTTCGTATTCTTTTGGAGTCGGAGGGGAGAGGCAGCCTCCGGTGTTGGTGAAATCCGTCTGGGGAGTCGCTGATAAACCTTGTCCCCCACCCATCGCGGCTGCACTCGGCTGGGGTGGGGGGCTGCGGCGCCTCGGTGGGATGGGCAGGTGGCGGCTCCCAGCGCGCCGCAGAGAAAATCTCTGAGCTCTGTCCCCAGGAGCAGCCATACCCAGCCCCGCAGTGGCTCTGCCTCCCATACCTCTCTCTTGGGGTGCTCCGAGCACCTGGGCTGCATCCTTTGTGAAGTGTAGAGCAGCAGAGAGGCCCGGTGGCCAGCCTAGCGCCCCTCCCAAAATTCCGAAAAGCCGGCTGAGTTGGACGGGTTTCAGAGAGCGAGTTGAGAAGGACAGGAGGTATGGGGTGGGGGAGGGGCCTGGCCAGTTGGAATGGGTCGTGGAACCCCTGACTAAGTGGCCTTTGACAAGACTTGGAAAGATCCCTGCTTGACGCTGGGGGGCTGGTGGGGGTTCTACCCAGGCATTTTGTCTGTGGGCCCAGGGCCAGACTCTAGTCTCCTTAGGTGCCCAGATGGGGGTCTACTGGACCCTCTCTTGGCAAAGGTAATTAAAATATAAGTGTGTGTGTGTGAGTGTGTGTGTGTGTGTGTGTGTGTGTGTGTGTGATTTTTCAAATATATGCAAGTCAGCCTGGCTGGGAGAGTGTTGGTGTTAGAAATCAGGCCCGAGGCCAAAATTGGCAATCTAGATTTGGGATAGAAAAATCAAAAGGTCTCTGGACCTAGTTTCTGGCAAGTGGGAGGGAGCACTCCTCCTACCCACCTGCAAGAGTCCCAGGACTGGGGATGGGGAGAGACTTCTGCAATGTGGTGGTTAGAAGGTTGTTTTTGTGTTGTTGCTGTATTTGTTAATGAAATTGATATCGTTCTGACTCCATCACTAAGTATGCAAGTGTTTCTCAGGGAGGTGGGTAGGGAGTCTGGGCAAGGTAGAGGCTTTCTCTGTGCCAATTCCCCTCACCCTTTGATGGTCTCAGCATTCAGTCTAGGAATCAGTTCCCTCCAGCCCAATCCCAGGCTCCCAGCTTAGTAAATTCAGTGGTTACTGGGACCCTTGGGAAGTTCATTTGTAAACCCCAGATTCCCCCAGGTTTACCAGATCCCCATTTTGGTCCCACGGCCAGAGACCCTAGCAGGTGGCAGAATGAGCAAATTTAGACAGAGAGAGCCTGCCTGGGGCTGGGGAGGTGGGGGAAACGGGGTTCTTCCACACACTTCAGGGATTATCCCCCTTTTCTGGCCCCAGGAGGTGCGGGAGGCTGGGAGGGGCCGGAATATCATCTGGCTGCATCTTTTATGGTTCTTCATTGCCCTTCATTCGGAAATGAAACGCCTTTGATCTTTTTCTCAGGTTGTAAACGGAATTGCCCATCATTAAATATCCGGGGCCCCATCTGTTTGGTCTCCCAGCATTTTTCTTTACAGCTGTTTCTCTCTCTTTTTACCATTGAATTTTTCCAAAAGGACTTTTATGACACCTCCTTCACACCCAGCCACCTCTCCCTCCTCCCTTCACCAAGAAGCGCCTTGGAAAATATCTAGATATTCGTTTGATGGCAAACTAAAGGCTACGAGGGGCACGGAGGAGCCGATTGGGGTTTTGTTTTTCTTTAAAAAAATAAAAGTCCTGGGGGGGAGGGGAGGGGCGCGAGGGCACCCAGAAGGGCCTGATTCTGACTTCTCTGCAGCCTCGGGATGACCCTTCCTCCTTTTGTGCTTAGCTAATGTTTACATCTCATAATTCATGCGCCGCCCAGTGTTGTGCGGTGGCCCCGAGGTTCGTGTCCCTTTGCGGGACCGGCTGCTTCTATTTCTCTCTGATAGAAGAGAAAGAGAGTTGAAAACCTTGTAATCCCCAAAATGGACCCGCAGTGTCTTTTCCTGCTCCCAGAGCTCAAACGTAGAACAAAACGAAATAAAATCAAAGCATTGAAACCACACCCCAAACGAAGAAGGCGCGGAAAGTAGGAGAACTGGAAATTTTCTGGGCCAAGAAGATCTGTCTGTCTTCTGTATATACCCTGTAGATCCGAATTTGTGTAAGGAATTTTGTGGTCACAAATTCGTATCTAGGGGAATATGTAGTTGACATAAACACTCCGCTCATTTTTTTCCCGAAGAAATATTTTTCCCAAAAAGAGGACCATCCGGTGACTGACCACACGAAGACACCTTCCTTTTTTTTTTTTTTTTTCTTCTTCCTCTTTCCTTTCCTCCCTCATTGGTTAGAGATGGAGGAATCGTCTACCTGAAATCTTCCATGCCTGCCCCTGGAAGGCTTGGTCCCTTTTCACTTCTCTTAATAGGTTAATATTGGTGGTGGTGTTTTATCCTCTCCCCCAAGCCCACTTATTCTCTGTTCTGGGATCAGGGAGGCTTTAGTGAATATCTGGAAAAAATGACTATTTTTGTCAGTGTGCGAAGGCAAAGAAAATCGTTTTTCAAACGGATGTTGAGGTTGCCTTTTCGTTTGGGATCAGAACAAGATGCCCTGGAAATATGCAATTACTAAGGGGTGTTATTGTGTGTGTGGGTCACCCCTAGGGCTCCTACCCCCAGCATCATAAGGATGTGAGATTTCTGTTCACTGCAGACGCAGCTGCATTAGCGGCAATTAGAACGGCTGGGGCTGGACACCGTGGTTAGCATTGCTCGGGTGGTTCTGGAATTAGCAAATTGCTATTCAGTGTGCTCTCAAAAGTTGCAAGATTTTTAATCCAGCACTCAGGTTCAGTGTGGGGAACCAAGTCGTTTCTCGGCGTGGGCCGTGTGGGGTAAGGGGAGGACTGGGTAAGAGAGGGGAACGGAAGGACTGACTGACACAGCCAAACTAATAGCGCAGCTAAATGCGATTTGGAAGGCGAGGTCTCCCCGAATTAGTGCATGAATTTCCTATCGATCCGCCCGCGGTTCCATTCATCTCTGACAAGTCCCTCCTGCACCCGCCTGCTTGCTCCCGACGCCTCCTCTCTTCACTCCCTGCCCCTCCCCAGGCGACTGCAGAGAAAAGCCCGGTGCTCAGTGCCTTCTCGCCCCCATGTGGGTTCCTCTCTCTAGGCGGAGCCCCCAGTCTGCCCCTCAACTTAACTCCCCACACAGCCTCCTGGGCTCTTTCCCATCGTGAGGAGGGGATGGGGGCGCCTATTGAAGGCAGAGAATGCGGGGCGGTGAGGCCGGACAGGAGGGGGCTGCACCGAGAGCCCCAACTTAGAGGGGATCCAGGGATTGTTCTCTGCCCAGCGCCCCAACAGGCCCTCCGGCGGCAACCTGCCCTCTTCCTCTCTTTCTCTCCCCCTCTTTCTCTCTCACTCTCTTTCTCTGATCCCGGAGAGAGCTGGGCGAGGAGGCGGTCGCCCTGCAGGAGCCCTATGTAAATCCTGGTGTCGGGTGGGTGGGGAGGGGGAAAAGAGAAGAAGGGGAAATAGACCTCTTTGGCTGGAGTAGGGTCCGGGTGAGCAGATTTCCTTATCCGGGAATCGCAGGCGGGGCGGCCATTGGCTCCGAGGATCACGTGGGCCCCTAACTTTGTTCACTTGACAGTAAGTAGGAGGGCTTTCGGAAACAGGAAAACGAGTCAGGGGTCGGAATAAATTTTAGTGTATTTTGTGGGCAATTCCCAGAAATTAATGGCTATGAGTTCTTTTTTGATCAACTCAAACTATGTCGACCCCAAGTTCCCTCCATGCGAGGAATATTCACAGAGCGATTACCTACCCAGCGACCACTCGCCGGGGTACTACGCCGGCGGCCAGAGGCGAGAGAGCAGCTTCCAGCCGGAGGCGGGCTTCGGGCGGCGCGCGGCGTGCACGGTGCAGCGCTACGCGGCCTGCCGGGACCCCGGGCCCCCGCCGCCTCCGCCACCACCCCCGCCGCCCCCGCCACCGCCCGGGCTGTCCCCTCGGGCTCCTGCGCCGCCGCCCTCCGGGGCCCTCCTCCCGGAGCCCGGCCAGCGCTGCGAGGCGGTCAGCAGCAGCCCCCCGCCGCCTCCCTGCGCCCAGAACCCCCTGCACCCCAGCCCGTCCCACTCCGCGTGCAAAGAGCCCGTCGTCTACCCCTGGATGCGCAAAGTTCACGTGAGCACGGGTGAGTGCGTGGGCACCCCTTCCCCCTCCCACCCCCGGTGCTTTACACCGAAGGGACCTCGGAGGTATGGGGGGGGGGGAGCTGAGGGAAGCCAATTGTCCCCGCTATAAACTCGCCATTGCCGGAGATTTACGGTCGCCTGTTTTCAGAGCCACATAATTACATCCCCCATAAATTTTTATGGCCTGGTGGGCCCCGCGCCTTTGAAGTCGGTTCCCCCATCCTCTTTGCCATTCTCACCAGCGACTTTTTCGCCTGGGAGATGCAGTCTCAGTGAAGTTGCAAGTTGGGGAGGGGTGTGTGGGGTGGGGGAGGAGAAGGAGGAGGAGGTAATCTGTATTTGAAGGGAGAGTTGAGTCAACTCCCAGTATTTATTTTTTCCTTTCTTTCCTCTAGTCTGTCTCCTTGGCTTCAGAAGTGGGCAAAAGTTTTTACTGGGGGCAGGCGCTATATGGAATCTGAGCACAGAGGGTGGGAACTAGCAGAAGAAAGGTTTAGGGAAGCCCCCCTCCCTCTTTCACCCCCCATTCTCCCATCCCGGGCCCCAGGCCAAGGGGGCAGAGAGGAGCGTTTAAAACCTTGTGAAGATTCCTCACTGCCCCCACCCCCTCTCCAGACACCCAAACAACAACGTGGAGACAACACAACCCTCCAAAACTTTGAGGTCTCTTTCTCTTCCTGGGGGCCGCTTTCTTCCCTGGGCGTCCCCACCCCCCTCTGGAGGAAGAAGAGGTGGCGGGAGAGGGAGGGAGGGAGACACTGTGCTAGCTGGAAGAAAGCGCTCTCCCTCCTCCCTTTCGGGGCAATAAAACTTTCTCTTTCTCCCTCTCTCTGTGTGTGTCCAGTAAACCCCAATTATGCCGGCGGGGAGCCCAAGCGCTCTCGGACAGCCTACACTCGCCAGCAGGTCTTGGAGCTGGAGAAGGAATTTCACTACAACCGCTACCTGACGCGGCGCCGGAGGGTGGAGATCGCCCACGCGCTCTGCCTGTCCGAGCGCCAGATCAAGATCTGGTTCCAGAACCGGCGCATGAAGTGGAAAAAAGACCACAAGTTGCCCAACACCAAGATCCGCTCGGGTGGCACCGCAGGCGCAGCTGGAGGGCCCCCTGGCCGGCCCAACGGAGGCCCCCCCGCGCTCTAGTGCCCCCCCCCCGCACGGGAGCCGCGAACCTCGGGGCGGGGGTGGGTTGTGAGCGCGGGGGTGGGGGCGGGCGGGGGGAGATGCAGGAGGGGACCTTAGGGCCTGGGTCCGCAAAAGCCTACCTGCCCTCCCCCCACTTTATCTATTTACACGAATAAACGCAGAGGAGGGGGGGGAAGCTTTATTTATAGAAATGACAATAGGGAGCCGGGTGAGGCCCCCCCAGAAGCAAGGTTCAAGTCTCTTGCTTTCTTCCTTAAAAAGAAGAAAAAGAAGAAGAAGAAGAAGAAGAAGAAGAAGAAGAAGAAGAAGAAGAAGAAAAAGAAGAAGAGAAAGAAGAAGAGAAAGAAGAAGACAGAAAAAGAAATAGGAGGAGGCTGCACTCCTCGCTTTCAGCTTTGGCGAAGATGGATCCACGTTTCATCTTTAATCACGCCAGGCCCAGGCCCATCTGTCTTGTTTACTCTGCCGAGGAGAGGATGGGCCTCGGTGGCGACCATTACCTCGACACCCGGCTAACAAATGAGGCCCGGCTCGGCCGCCTTTACTGCTGCCGCCGCTGGAACACAGCCTGGATTTTCTTTCTTTGTCCCCCATTCCTGACACCGAGCGAAAGCACCCTGTGACTGCCAGATAGCGCAGTGTTTTGGCCACGGTAACACACACACACACACACACACACACACACACACCCTCCCCTTCCGTGCCCCTGCACAGGCACACTGACTTCTCACCCCTCCTTCCACCAAGAGGCTGGGCTGGGGGGCAGCAGGAAGGGGACAAGTGGAGGCAGGGGTGCAGGAGCAGGCAGGGAAGATGAGTCCGAGAAAAAAAAATGAGAGACCCGGAGACACGGGAGGGCCTTCTTCTGGAAGGTCAGGCCGTTCCTGGCAGAGCCAGAGGCCAGTTGAGTTCTGGGAGCTGGGCGCAACCCTGTCGCCAATCTAGAGTTGTTCTGCCGAGGCCTTCTCCCCTAGACTGCAAATGAATGTGAAACTAGCAAATAAAACGGGGTGCCCCTCCCGGTCTGGGAGATGATGTTGCAGAGACCTCTCCCATAGTTTATCATTGTTTTGCATTGATTATTATTATTATTAATTATTAATTATTATTATTATTATTATTTTATGTCATGTGCGTCCTCTCTCCTGTTCGCTCTCTGACATTCCAAACCAGACCCCTTCCTAGTTCTGGGGCTGCCTGAGTCTAGAACCCTTCGTTGGCGTGAAAATTTGTGTCCTGTACAGAGTGACAATAGAAATAAATGTTTGGTTTCTTGTGACCAGCACGGCGTGTTTTTGTTGAAACCTCGATATAAAGATACAGACAAATGCCACCCAGCGTATATGTTAAGCATCCCAGTCCATTCGGCCTCATATTGGATGTGGTTGAGGATTTTTTTCAAAGGGTCCAAGGGGACTTTCTGTCTCAGAGGACGCCAAATTGTGGTAACTCGTTTGTTTTCCTTTTGGGATGGGTGTGTTTTGTTTGGGGCTTTTAATTTTTTCCCTCCAGCCCAAAAATGGATTGAAAGTACTGGGAGGGGTGACTCCAATCCCTAATGGGGGGGGATGTTTCATTGTAGGACACAAGAGGCTTAAGTATGGCAAAGCCTTTCATATCGTGATTTATTTGTCATAAGCAAATAAAATGCGGTTAAGCTGTCTCTTTCTAGACAGACGACTCTTTGCTTATTAAGGTTCGGAGGGAGGATTCTGCGAGGCCGGCATCTTTCCTCCCGCCTAAGAAGGTATCGTTTTCCTCTGAGGTGTTTAAAGCTTTAATGAGTCTAATTTTTTGCACAGATGTTTCTGGGTGTTTGCAGGTTTTCAGAGTATTTTTATATTACAAAGGAGCTAGCCGGTGCCATAGCTCAAACTCTGACAAGCAAATAGATAATCAAGAAGACAAATGGCCTCTTTTGTGAAGCCCTGCTCCTGTATTAATTTTCATTTTCTTTCTCATAGAAAGTATCGAAAGTACGACTAGGGACCAAATAGCTTTCTGTCTCTGAGGTCCCAGTCACCCCTAGAATGGAGTGGGGGAAGGGGAAGGGGGTGCCGGTGACCCTCACAAGCTCTGTCAGGCTCGGGCCACTTTGGGGCAGCACCCAAGAGAAGTGCTAAGGTCTAAGGGCTCCAGCCCCAGGGTCTCTGGTCTTGTGGTGGGCCAGGATACCACCACCCACCCGCCTCCAAAAACCTTGGGGCTCAAGAGAGCATATGCAATTAAAAGTCGTTTTTCGGTCCCGTCTCCCTCCAGAAAATAAACATAGCTGATTCCACCAGCACGTTTTATTGGTATTTCTTTTGTATTCCTCTGGTTTGCAGCGCCCCCGGGGAGTGTGAGGCTGCGTAGGGCCCAGGACACACGGGCCGGTGTCCACAGCGCGGGAAAGGGCCATAGAACGGCCCTGTTGAAATGCTGCTGGAAGCCTCATAAAAAACCGCCCGGACCTGGAGGCTCAGAGCGGCGAGCTTTGTTTCTGTCGAATCTCGGTGTGATGTTTAGCTGCCAGGGGATGCGGCTGCCCTTAGTGGAGGGGGGAAATCGTTCTTAAAAAGCATATGCCCCCCCCAGGAATGTCTCTATAGAACCAAATCAAAGCTGCTCCTTGGAAGGTATGAATAGAATAAAAAAAGATTTCTATGGAGCTTAAAGTTCACAGCCATTCTGTGTAGACAAGAGCTAAGAAAAATGTGAGAATTATACAGAAAACCATTAATCACTTCTTTTCTTTAAATACGTATCCTCTCTCCTTTGTTATTATTCAACAGCAAATCTCCGCAGACCGGCTGTTGGGGGAAAAAAGTGTTAGCTGGCTCTCCCGGATCTGCGAGGGGGAAAAAATTTGGAACCATAAAGTTGAAAACTTTTTTCTCTCAGTTTGGAAGAAGCCCGTCGTCATGAATGGGATCCGCGGAGTTCAGGCCAGAGGAGGCGAGAGGCGCAAAGGTAACAAAGCCCCCGCCTGGGCTGTCTTTTTTTTTTTTTTTTTTTTTATCGTTTTATGAGCTCTTTTTTTACAAAGGAAAGAAGAAATTCTCTCGCCTCCTTCTTTTCCTTTTTCAACTTTCTTCGCGGGGTTTTTTATGGTGGATGCTTGGTCAGATTTGCTGCCTTTTATGATGACTGATGCTTGGGTCAGAGGGAGACAGAGGGGCCTCGCACCTGGAGAGTGTTTGAACTGCTTGGGACTGAGGTGTCAGGGCCCCTGAAAAACCCCAGAGAAGGTTGTTTGTGAGGCTGCTCAGAAGTGCTTTTCAGGTTTTGGAAAATGCAGGCGGGCCTGGGGAGGTCCAGCATGTGTGCGTGTTTAGCGACATGCACATGTGGTCCGTGTGTTCTGTGACTTCGCTTGTCTACACTGGGGGCTTGTGTCCCATATGTCTGTTTACCGGGGAGATGTCACTGCTGCCTCCTGGAAAAACGGAATGCAGTTCTTGGATGGAATGCCCCAAGGATTGGAGCAGGGTATAGGTAGACGTCTTCATTTTTTTCTTTCTTTCTTTCTTTCTTTCTTTCTTTCTTTCTTTCTTTCTTTCTTTCTTTCTTTCTTTCTTTTTCTTTCTTTTTGTGTCTAGCTTGGGATTCTGGACTAAATATTTGCAACTCTGAAGCAGGAAACTGTTCCGTTTACAGGCAAGGTTCGTTGATGCCGGAATCTTCCTCTTCAACTCTGCCCCCCCTTCTTCCTGGAGGCTCAGTGTTCAGTTTGGTTTCCTTTTGCTCTCTTGTTTTAGGGGCTCTGTTCCCCCGTGTGGGGCCCTGCTTCTGAGGGCAAGGGAGCCAGGGGGCTCTGCCTCAGACCTGAATGTGCTGGCCCTTTTACCCTGGGGCTCACTGTGGGTTTGGAGGCAGGAGGCTGGCAGGAGAGAGAGTTCATGGAGAGGCCACGTTTTCTAGGCGATTAGCTCAGTATTAGAACCACAAAATGACCTCGGAAGCCCCTTGACCTCTCTGAGACTGGACAGTGTGCTGGCTCCTGGCTCCTGACTCCTGCCCAGGAGGGAAAGTCACACCTCTGCAGGGAGGGGTCCTTGGGCTGTTGTGTGGCCCACCTTCTGCATCTCCCTCCAGCCCCCAACCCCTTCTTTACTATCTGGGAATTTCAGGATTGTTTTTCTATGACTGTCCATTGGGGAGAAAAGGAGTAAAAATTTGAGCTCAGGGGTACGGCTGGGGGAGGGAAGTAGGGTGCTGATCTGGCCCTCTGTGTAGAACTCCTTTCCTAGGCCAGGTTCTAACCGCCCCCCCCCCCATATCCAGCTCATCCCTCCTTCTTTCCTCTTTCTCTTGGAGGGAGCTGAGGGAAGAAAGGCAAAGGGAGGTGAAAAGATAGGTCCATAGGGCTTCAGAGGGCTAAGGGAACAAGCCCCTGGGTTCTAAAGAGGGGGAAGCACCCCCTGCCCCGGCAACAGTCCCTTGGAGGCTACTTTCTCTCAAGGTCTCATATCCAAATCCACAGCTTCTCAACCCATTTTCTGAAGTTCCTTTGTTTAGGAAGCTATTCCTATAATCACTTATGCCCTCTTCCCCTAATCCCCAGCCCCACCCCAGCTACTCACAGGACCCACGGACACCTCCCTACCAGAGGAGCAAGAGAGATGGGAGAGGGTTCAGGACAGGCTGTTCTGCCCATTTCCAGGGACAGCTCTGCCACAGTAACCAAAGTTTTAGAAACTTTTAATTTTAAGAGATGGGTAGAGAATTTGCTAACATGGAGCCTTTCCAAATCCCTGTTCTCCTTGGTGCATCTTAAAATCCACACCAGCAGCCATTCTCTTAGGAGGAGAAAGAGACAGAGACAGACAGACAGGCAGGCAGACAGACAGACTGAGACTCCAGCTGAGAAGAGAGGAAATGTTCCTTCAGTTAAAACTAGGAGAGACCGAACCTTGCTGGGATGTGTGTGGGGTATTGATTTGCATTTTGTAAATTGTCTCCTGTAACTTGGGGACTCTAACTCGGGCAAGAACTAACTGGCATCCGTGGGTACCTTCTCCTTTGTCCCTGAATGGCAGAATACACCCAGGGGCTGGAGGCCGCGGGCAGGAGAGGGCGTGAGTTGAAGGGGAGCTGGGCCGCTCCTGGACTGCAAATGTTTGGGGCTCATGTAAGATAGGCACCCATTACTCATGAGGGCAGATAACCAATTGCGGGCCCTCTAGAGGCCCAGGTGAGGAAGCTGTAGTCACCTGGGACTTTAGGAGTAACAGTGCGAGGGGTCCATCAAGGGGAAGGAGGAGGGAAACAATGGAAGGGAAGGTTGGGGTTCATTCCAGGGTTTCAGCCCCATAGGCGAGAGCTTCAGGATTTCCCTTTTCCCTTACTCCCAGACCCCCCCCCCCCCCCCTTTTCAGGGATGAGCACCTCCAGCAGGCTCCCCCGGCTGGATGGGCTCACCTTCTATGATTCCAGCTGCACTCCTCCTCGTCTTTGCCCTCTCTTCCCTCCCGGTCCCCAGGCCCTTCCCGTTGGCCCTCCTATTTGCACCTCCGGGGGCAGAGGGGCTGCCCTAGTCCTGCCAGAGCCCTCGAGGCCGCTCCAGCGCCCGTGGTGGGTCTCCCTGGGAAGAGTGGCCAGCCGAGGAGGGGAGTCTGGTTGGAAAACAGAGTTGGGAAGTTTCCCAGCGTGAGTTGAGCGCTGACGGATTTGTGATCAGCCATAAAACCGGCGCGTTCAGATTCGTAAATCAATCTCGCCTTTCTCGCAGAATGAACGTTCGCTTTATCGGCAGCAAGAAGCGCTCCGCTCGCGCTCAGGCTCTTGTTTATTTGAACATGGACATTCCCAGGATCCGAAAAGAGTGTGGGCATTTTAACAGAACCTGCCTGGCGTGCCTTCCTGTCATTCTGCTGTTCTTTTTCTTGTCCTTAAAGACAATTTCTCAGTTTCAAAGATTGTTGTCTTCCCATGCTCCTATTACTTCCTTTCTGTCTCTCTATCTCGCTCTGTCTCTCTCTCTCTCTCTCTCTTTTTTCTTTCAGACTATAGGGGGCTGTTTTCCCAAAGGGGACCATTTTTAACGGATTTGTGGCCAGGACCTTGCAAGGAGTTGCCCTGGCTGGAGCCAGGCGCAGGGCCCACGTTGGGAGCAGGCTGAATTCAATACCAGTCTGTGTTTTGTATCTGGACAATCAAAGCCGCCCACCCCCCTACAGAGCGCGGGGCCCCGCCGGCGCCCCACCCGTGCGTCGGGAGCAGGGATTCCGGAGGAGGAGGCAGGGGCTGCCCGGCCGCCGCCAGCTGGAACTTAAGCGGGGCCGGCGGGCGAGGTGACTGTTTCTTTGGGGGCTGCTAAGGCATCTGGGCCCTCAGCCTTCTCCCCATAGAGTTGTTTTTGGTTCAGGTCTCTCCAAACAAACCGGTGGCGACCCCTCGGCCCCTGCTCCCTTACCCTAAGCCGAATTTATTCTCCTATCCGGCCTGCTCTGGCGGCGCGGGCCAGGCTGCGCACGGAGCTGCTGAAGATAAGGCTGGGAATGTGCCGAGCGGGGCTTCTTCAGGAATGTCTTTTCTGCTCCCCTTTGCACTCCCACCCCTCACGGTGGCCCAGGACTCCGATTCTGGTTGTAACTGGTCTGCTCCTCCTGGAGCCAAGCTGTAAGTGAAGGTTTGGGGGATTTTTTTGTTTTGTTTTGTTTACATCTGGGATGAAGGAGTGTGTGTCCCTTTCTGTAGGCCTAGGGAATGGATTGCTCCTATAGTCCCTGTGTTTAACCCTTTATTATGAGATTCCACACCCCCCCCCCAATCTTTCACCATCGATCAGACTCCATTGTCTGCTGATTGGGAGCTCAGGATATTAACACCTGGGAAATAGGGACCCCGGGCTGCCAGGCCAACTTCAAAGCCTGTTTCTTCCCTCTCCTTCCTCTCTAGTTCAAATCTTCGGCTGTCTTCACTGGTGTGTGAGGGGTGGAGGGGGTCACTGATATGGGGTGTGACATAGGTAGAGAGCTACTGAGTGTCCACTTCTTTTGTGTAGATACCTTAGTCTGGGGTCTTTGTCTCTAGAGCGTATTCTCAGTTGGTCACTAGAATTTGTTTCCCTGTGGTGGTAATAATACAACGGAAAAAAAAGTCCCCCTTGTGGTTATTCTCAGCTGTGGGAGCCCCAGAGTCATCTCTTCACCCTGTCCCTTTTCTGCCCCTTCCAAAGGTACCACAAAAGGTCAGAAGGAGAATTAAAGCCAGAAGCCCCATTCTTTATACATATGTAACTTGGACTGATGAAGTGTTTGTTTTGAAGCTAGTCCCTTTAGAAATGTTGCTTTTTTAGGAAGAGGGGAGTGGGTCCCACTAAAATCAATATCCTAGGAGTGAGAGAGAGAACTGAGTTGGGGGGGATCTTGATCTTAAAGGATGCAGAGAGAAGAACTGGAAGCTGAGAAATCCAGGGGCTTGGAGCAGGGCTCCGCGCCCACCCCACCCCCACCCCCCAGACGCCCCTGCAGACTATTTCTGCACCTCCACGAACTAAGCAGAAGCAGGAGGAGAAGGGAGAGAGGAGAGGTGGGCTGTGGGTAAGTGTGTGTCTGGGGAAGGGAGGTTAGGGAGCTGTAGGTAGAGTAGGTATAGATGTGAATGTGGGAGAGAGAAGGAGAACTCACTACTCTTCCATTGGTGGGTTGGGGGGAACCTATTTTGCAGGAAAATTTCTCCTCCTGAAGGGGAAGGTCATAGTGGTCCTTTGAGCCTGAAATCGAAAGACCCCCTTCCCCCTCCTGGTCACGTGATTCATTAAATAATTAATGCCGAGGTTGCAGAATAGATATGTATTCGTCAGGAAAATCGCAAGCTCGGTCTCCCTGTTTCTGACGTGCAATTCAACTGTCCTTTGAAAAACAAGCCTGTACCCCGAGAAAAAAAAAGAGAGAGGGAGAGAGAGAGGGAGAGAGAGAGAAAAAGAGAGGGAGGCAGCAATAAAACAGCCCCGCAGCCGGAGCCAC